ACATAGTACCCTGTCACTTGGCTTGTGGCATTGATTGGGAGGAGGTCGACGCCAACACGAAGCCAGATCCTAATACCAACTGGCTCTTTAAACAAGATGTGTTCAGGTATGCATAATCACTACACTCTCATCGCAAAACCACGTAGACGTACATGTATCTAATAATAATAATAATATATAATATTGTACACACTACAGTGATTTACTAGTCAAATGGATGCTGGTCGCTCAAGTGGCCTACTCCATGGTGGAGAGACCTGAGTTCAGATCAATGATCCACTCTCTCAACCCAACTGCCACCGTGTTTGGGGCTGACACAGTCAAGAGAAGAGTGATGGAGATGTTCAATCACACAGTGAATAGGATGGCAGCGTACTTCAGACACCTTGACAGCAAGGTTTCATTTTGTGTAGATGGCTGGACCTCTCCAAACAACATGTCATTCTTGGGCATCACTGCCCATTGGGTGGACAATAGGAAGAACTTGTTTAAACCAAGACGAATGCTTTTGGCCATGGTCAAGAACTCTGACCATAGTGGTATGTCATCTTTGCTCACTCTCTCATTCATTCACTCAATCACTCATTCAATCACTTCATCATTCAAATCAAATATATGAATTCAATATTGACCTAATCCTATCCATTACCAGGTGCTCATATTGCCCAAGTATTCACCGACACATTGAACAAGTACGACCTTATGCCAAGATTGATCGCCACCACTGCTGATAACGCCAGTGCCAACACGAGATTCTCTCAATGCCTCGCCGAGATGTCGTCACCGACCAACCCAAACTACCGCTCCCTTGGTAGCCATGTCAATTGCCTCGCTCACGTTGTCTCATTGGCAGTCAAGGCGATGGTTACCTCTATGGCACAATTCGATGAGTTCACCGTCATCAAGAAGCTGCATGACCTTGCTGTGGCCATCAGGGCTAGTCCGCAGCGAAAGGAAAGATATGATAAGTAAGTAATCAATATCACTCGCCCAATCAATCAATCAATCACTCTTTACATAGCCAATGGCCATCAACACTTATTGACTAACAAATCAAAACCTCCACTCAGTGACTACATTTTCCGCTATGTTGGGGACCATATTAAGTTACCCAAACAACACAATCCAACCAGATGGGACGGTGTCTACCTTGTGTTGTCCCGTGCCATTACGATACGACCAACATTGGAGAAGATTCTTGCTCAGAGGGACTACTCGGAGTACACCCTACAGAGAAGGGACTGGACTATGGTAGAGACCCTGGTCAGAGTGCTCCAGCCATTCAGAGAGGTCACCTTGGAGGTTCAGAGGGCCCATTCAAACATCTCTATCACCTACCCAATGTATGAACTGCTGTTCAATCACTTGGAGTCAGAGATGAAGGGATCCGATTGCCTCACCCAAGTGTGCACTGCTGGATACAACAAGTTAAAGGTATGTTCAATCATCCTTGTTGTTCGTTCAATCAATGTCAACAGTGCACTAGTACTAACTAACCTCACTCAACACAAACAGGAGTACTACGTACGCACTGACACAGGTTCAATGTATTATATTAGTACTATCATCAACCCTTGCTACAAGATGGAGTTCTTTAAAAGCTTTGGTATGTGTCCTTATCAACTGGCGAGTTGGTTGACTAACCAACAGTTCATGCATTCATTTATTATAGGCAAGTTCAAGAAGGTTGCCAGGGAAGCAATCGAGTCAGAGTACGAGATCTACCAGTCAAAGTACCAAAGCATTGAGGCACGCCATCCTGATGAGCAGGATTGCCCTGACACCATCTGGAAGAGGATAATGAAGCCCAAGAAGGTGTGTATCATCAATCACTCAATCACTCAATCACTCAAT